CCTTCCGGGATGGGAGGATGACAGCGTCGCGGGAGGAAAAGTCCAGGCCGAGCCCGCCCGGAGCAGGCCGCCCTCTCCCTCCCGGAGCCAGGGCCGAAGGAGGAGACCCAGAGGCGCAGGCACGTGGGGAGGGGACGGGCGGCCCCCGCTGGCGGCCGGGTCCTACCTGGCCCAGCAGGCCGCGCCCCATCCCCCGCCCGCTCCGCGCCGCGCCGCCTCCGCCTCTCACCTGGCGCTCGCCCTGGGCGCTGTATTTGTTCCCTTTACTCAGCCCCAGAGACTTCTCCAGCAGCGTCAGCTCAGCGGCCGCCGCCATCTTCCGGCCCGGGCTCCTGGCAGGGGCGGGATCGGCTCAGCAAGGGTCTCCTGCACTGGCTGAGAGGGACGTCCCGCTCCCACAAACGTCTCTGGCTATTGGCTGGACGGAGGGGGGCGTGGAAGGCGCGCCTGTGCGAAGGAGGCGTGGCCAAACGAGGGGGCGGGGCCGAAGGAGGCGTGTGCGACAGGTGGAGAGGGACTGGCAAACCTCAGCGCTCAGGCCCGAGGGTCGCAGAAGAAGCGTAAATTGAAAGATTATTCAAATAGCACTGGGTATGTTGATACTATCAAGTAATTTGTATAGCTCAGGAAAACCAGCCATTACTAGTTTTATTTTTATTGGCAATACTACAAAGATATAATAGCAATATAATTTATATATATATTTATGTCTATTATGTCTATTTATGTATAATTAATGTATATATATATATAGTGATAGTGATACAATTTACATGGATTTTGGTATATAAGTAAACAATGCACATAACATTTTACCCCTAAATTGTTATATTCTTACATCTTCAAAGTAGAAAGTGGTAGTACATTTTGAACCTTGCATATTTCCAAAAGATTTCTGAAAAAGAAAATTTCCACATTGAAGAATGAATAAACAAAGTGTGTATCAGTCTGAGAGAAATGGAAAAGGAATACACGGTAGTTCATCACTCAGTCAGAAATTAAGAGGTTTGGTGTGGAATGCTGTCACTGTGCGACACCCTCCCTACCCTAAAATGCTTAACAAGTTAATTCTGGTGGCAGAAATAAATGTAAGGAAAAGAAAATTTGGACAAATCAACATGAACAAAATACAAAGGAAATTCCAGTATAAGTGGATTATTGTGCATTAATTATTTGTTTATTTTCCTAATACAGAGAAATGAATATTTTACTACTTCTAAAAAGACCAGTCCTTTGAGAGAATTCACTCAACTATTTTCAGTGTTTAAGTACATGCTTTGCTTGTAATAAAACATTTAAAAACATTTTTACAGTTACCTAGTTCCAGTGGGTGGTATATTTAAAATAAAGCTTGACCTAAATGGCCTAAACTAAGATTTGATTTGAATTCCAGTATAAAGTGTCTGAAAGGATCTGCACCCAAATGATAAAAGTGACAACTTGGGGGGAATAAGGTTGGCTAAATGAGTGGAATATCACTTTTTAATGTATGCACTTTGATATGAAATACTACAGATAGCTTTTGTAATTAAAAAGAAAGTTTGTTTTAAAGTTGTTATAAATTTCTTTCTTCCATTCAAGTCCTGAAGGTTTTTAAGCTTGGATTTCCTCTTCTTGCCTGGTATTCCTCCTTTTTTGTTGTGGATGTGCCTAACTAGGGAATAAAATTAGTTGAGCACTGTATGCTTCTGTGACAAAAAGGAAAGCAGGTGGTGCCACATAAAAAGAGGCAAATTTAAACTGGATTTCAGGAGCCAAAGATTCTAGTTTCTAATTTGCACTAACTAGCTGTGTCACACTAGGCAGACAGTTAACCTCACTGGGTCTCAGCTTCCCCATGAATAATACAGGGACTGGGATTAGATATTCTCTCTGGTTCCTTTTAGTATTGACATCTAGGTTTTCAATATTTTGATACTTTTGCCTTAAAGTGAACATGCATTTTTGTACCACTAATGTAATTTTGTAATTGTAGTTTTGTGATGTAACTGTGCTACTAATGCGATTTTGTGTTGTTGGGTGGAAGGGCCTTTTGTTGTGGCCGACTGCGGTGTATAAGTAAAGTGCTTGCTTGTTTGTACAGACTTTGGGGGTGCCCGTAGGGAGAGGGGTCTGGCTGTTTCTGTCATATTCTCTAGGCTTAATACCAGCAGATGAGAAAGAGGGTCAGAAGTACACGTAGGCAGGGCTGCTTTCCTCGGTGTGCTTAGAAGGGCCTCGAGCTTGGTCTAATACTCCGTTGTCTCCATCTTGAAATCCTTAATCGTTTTTAAAAAGGGGCCCTGCATTTTGTTTTTGCACGGGGCCCTAAGACTTACATAGCCAGTCCTGCATGTAAAGGTATTGCCTCTGTTGCCTGAGTTTGCGCTAAAGATTCCAGGAAGCGCTTGAGGCTTTGACAGTGTCCAGACAAAGGCAACTGAATATATATTTAATGAATATAAACCCACGAAACACTGTCCCCTCCCCCCAAAATCTGTACCAGGGTATTGAATGCTATCCTGCTAATGATAAAAAGAAAAACTGGAGAGGAACATCTCTGTGTAGTAGTAGAGAATGAGCTCCAGGACACTGTATCTTTAAGTGAAAAAAGCAAGGCAGAGAAGGTGTTTATGGCGTGCTGCCATTCATTTAATAAACTGTCTGCCTAGCGTGACACAGCTAGTTAGTGCAAATTAGAAACTTGGGGGAGGTACAAACATACACATATTTTTGGTTTTATTTAAAAAGTGAAATTATAAACCAAAAAAAGTTTTAATTAAAAAAATTAAAATCAAAATGACTACCTCTGAGGGGGAGGTGGTGGGGAGAGGACAGGAATGGAAACTAGCCTTCTGTGACTGTGCCTTTCCTTAGAGATTTGACTTTGGAACCAGATGTGTATTTTTATGTAATTACAAACATCTTCAATTAAAAAAGATCTCCCTAAAAAAATGGAATTAAAATAAAACATCCATCAAGTTGGTGACATGATCACAGTGTGGAAGTTTTTAGGGTGACTTTATAAAATAATAATTTTCAAACTTTTTTTTTATTGAGTTATAATCATTTTACAATGTTGTGTCAAATCCCAGTGTAGAGCACAATTTTTCAGTTACACATGAACATACATATATTCATTGTCGTGTTCTTTTTCACTGTGAGCTACCACAAGAGCTTGTATATATTTCCCTGTGCTATACAGTATAATCTTGTTTATCTATTCTACATATGCCTGTCAGTATCTGCAAATATAAAATAATAATTTAATTGTATGTGCTTAGTGAGGTATTCTCTAAGGAGAAAAATTCATGAAAAAATGTATTTTGAGGGGGGTCCAGTCAGCATACTGGCATTGAGGTGATGGTACTGCTATTCTAAGGCGTGCGTACTATGTCCTGTGTACTAACCAAGGCATGAACACACGGCACAAAGCAAAGGATTAGTTATGTGGTGTTGCTGGAAACTAGGGGTTTTGCTACAGCAGAAAAGAGAAGCAGACGTAAGGTAGATGAGGTTAAATAAGACCCTTAAGTTCTGAATCTAAGTTGAACTGTCAGTGTGAACTCATGATTTTATCTTAAAGAAAATAGAAAGTATTTCCTATCTAGCTCTGTTCGCTTAAAAAGCTTAGAAACAAGGACACTCTATCACACTGAGCACCCCTAGTAGCCAGATTCGGGTTTCAGATACTGTTCCCCACAAAAATGAATGAGGGTTCTTTGGAGAACTGGCTGATTCCAGATCTGGAACAGGACATGTAGAAGATGAGTCTGGATCGTCCTGTCACAGCAGAAAGCAAAGACGTTATTAAAGAGTAACGAGGATCATCAAAGGACAGGATAGGACCATTTGAGTTTCAGTAAGAATAATTGCAATGGATTGAAACACTTTAAAGATGTTTAAATCTATGGCTGGGGGGAGGGTACAGCTCAGTGATACAGTGCATGCCTATCATGCATGAGGTCCTGGATTCAATCCCCAGTACCTCCGTCAAAAATAAATAAATAAGTAAACCTAGTTACCTCCTCCTGCAAATAAATAAATAAAATAAATAAATAAATCTATGAGGTTATAATGACAGTAAAAAACAAGAAAAGAAGAACAAAATCAACACAATCCTCTGGTCATTGGAGGATTCTAGAGAACTAATTCATCATTTCAAAAAGTGATAAATAAAGGAAACAGAGTTACATTTTTTTTCTTGATTATCCTATAGATGCTGTATCTCAGGAAAACCAATAGGAAGAGGGGAGAGTTTCCCTTTATAGAAATGTTCCAGTTATGAATGAAGATAAAACAATAGAATATCATTGTTTTGCATCCCCCAGTGAAATAATGGGTCGAGGCAACGATGGTCAATAACTTCACATCACACAAATAGACGCAAAGAGACGGAATGAACTGAGGGAGAGCTAGGAAGTGGTCTTGCCAATTGAGTCTCAAGTCTGGTGAAGGTTTAACAACCGGATCACAAGAAATGATAGCAGGAAGGGGGAACATGTTAAGTGCCACCATGGAAATGCCACCAGCAAATTCTAGACCAAAGGAAACTGTAGGAGAAATGATATGATTGTTTCAATAAATGACTTGTAAAGAAAAAAGAAAAGGCAGAGGGGAGGTGGAACTGATACATTTTGAAAGAGTTTTAAGGACATAGCAATCAATTACAATGTATGAATCTTTTTTTCAAGCCTAATTTTAACAACAACAACAACAAAAACTGTTAAACGTGAAAAACATCGATGGTCAGCCACAACAGTGACAGATGTCTACGACAGTCCGTTTTATACGCCCGGGATATGACATTAACTTGCCCAGATTCACATGGCTATTAGATGTGCACATGAATCACCTGGAAGTTTTAGAAGATGCAGATATCATGCCACACTCCTGGAGATTCTGATTTATTTTGTCTGAGGGTGGGCACAGGCATTGGTATTAAAAAAATATTCCCTGGTGATTTTAACGTGCAGCCACCCTTGAGATCCCCTCCACTTGAATAGATGGAGGATCTGGAATTTCGAGTCAGGTTCTGAAGCCCACAAGGTTCTAAATTCCTCTTGTCTCCTTTCTGTGTTTCTATGGTGAGCTGCTGCCTGCTCCACGCTTCACTCAACATTAGGCAGAAGAAAGAGAAAGGTTGTACTTTACTTAAAATCATCAATAAGTATATTTTTGGATGATCTGCATACTTGACTCGGAAATATCCGCTTGAAGACCGCCTTGCTCATAATGAAAATAACTCGATGATTTGATTTTCGTCCAGTGGAACCCATCTCTAATCTGCTGTTATCATCATCAAGTTTTAAGTCCACAGTACCTGAGGATACAAATTAAATGTCAAGAGAAATTAATTCATCAAATGGAACGTGAACTGGCTGACTTTCTTCTCTGGAGCGAGCCTGACAGCTTTCTGTATGTCATATTGGCATCGGTTAAAATGAGCTGCAGATGCCAGAAACCGTTACTGTATCAGATTGCTCTCGGCAGCGCCTATCAGAAAATGTTCAGTTTTAGGAGAACTTTCTACTTTGGAATGTGTTGGGGTTTTAAACCTGTGTTCCAGCGACATCAGCCACATGGTGAATAAGGTGATACAGGGGCAACGAGTGCCTCGACTTCTTTGTCTTGGAGGCCTCTTGTACATAGGTGTGACCCGCATTTCCCCCGCATTTTCGTGAGGCCGTTACTGTGCACCAGGTACTGATTAAGCGCTAGGAACACACTGACGAATGGTCCCTCAGGTGTGGGGTGCCCTGAGGGAAGATGCTCGAAAACAGACAAGTAGAATTGTGCAGAAGGCAAAGAGCAGGGCTTAGAGAGGACAAGAACCCAGAGAGGGCGCTTACTCTGGAACTGGGGGAGGTAGGGGCAGGCTTCCCGGAGGTCAAGGTCCTGAGCTGAGACTTGAAGGAGGAAAAGGCGTTGTGCAGGTGACAGGTGAGATGGAGTGGTGTTGGAGAGGTCTGGGGAGGGGGCGGGGATGGCAGGCACAAAGGCTGTAAATTGAGGAGAACACTATTCTTCGCAGGATCTGCTCCAGGTGAGTGGGGAGAGGTGAGGGTGGGCAAGCAGACGTGCTGGATCGGAAGGGGTTTTGTCAGCGGCGTTAAGAAGGCTTTACGCCAGGGGAGCCCTCCTGCTCTGCTGGTGGGAATAGAAATTGGTGCAGCCACTGTGGAGAGCAGTATGGAGGTTCCTAAAAGAATTGAAAATGGACTTACCATATGACCCAGCCATCCCACTCCTGGGCATATATCCTGAGAAAACTCTAATTTGAAAAGATACATGCACCTCAATGTTTACAGTGCACTATTTACAGTAGCCAAGAGATGGAAACAACCTGAATGTCCATCGACAGATGACTAGATAAAGAAGCTGTGATATATTTATACAATGGAATATGGAATACTACCAGCCATAAAAAGAATAAAATAATGCCATTTGCAGCAACATGGATGGACCTAGAGATGATCAGAGTAAGTTAAGTAAGTCAGAGAAAGACAAATATCATATGGTATCAGTTATGTGTGGAATCTAAAAAAAAAATGATACAAATGAACTTATTTGCAAAACAGAAAGAGACTCACAGACATCGAAGACAAATTTATGGGTATGAAAGGGGAAGAGAGGTGGGGTTAAATTGGGAGTTTGAGATTAACAGATACACACTACTTTGTATAGAATAAATAAACAACAAGTTTCTTCTGTATGACACAGGGAACTGTATTCAATATCTTGTAATAACCTATAATGGAAAAGAATCTGAAAAAGAATAGATTTATGAATGCATATATAATTGAATCACATTGCTGTACACCTGAAATTAACACAACATTGTAAGCCAACTATACTTCAATAAATAAATTTTCAGAAGTCTTTATTCTTGATTCTCTTAGTCAACTCATACTCAACATGTCTGCATCAAACTCATGTTTGATGTTGTCTCTTATGCCCCTTTCCCAGATCTGCCCCTTCCCTCCCAGTCCCCATCTCACTGAATGACATTCAAGCATTTGCCCAAGTCAGAAGTCTGAGTGCCATCCTTGACTCTTCCTTCTCCTTTACATCAGGCAACAGAATGGGTTCAAGCCCCGCGACAAGGTGATCTTCCTGCTCCTGCAATGAACAGGGACCTGCTGATTGAGAGGGAATCCATTTCGCGTTTGTGGGAAGATCAGAAGGT